TAAGTATCATTTGGCTGACCTGAGGCTCAGGAGTTTGCCTAAGAGAAAAAAAACTGAGCTTAATGAAGAGTCGCAATTTGCAGACTTGTGGCTGGTGGCCAATGGCACCTTTGGGGGCGGCCAAAAGAATTTGAAAAAATAAATAAATAAAACATCAAGAATAAAAGAGTACAGTCCTGGCTCTTGCTTGGGTGAAAAATCTATGAACAGAGAAACGTTTTGTGTTGTATTTGGTGAGGGAACTATAATGCTATATATGGCAAATGGCAAGTGTCAGGGGGAAAGGTCTATGTCCACTCTATTTTTTTAAATGTTTATTTTTATTTTGGGAGAGAGAGAGACAGACGGAAAGAGTATAAGCAGGGGGAGGGCAGAGAGAGGGAGAGAGAGAATCCCAAGCAGACTCTGTACTCTCAGCACAGAGCCCGACATGGGACTCGATCTCACAAACCATGAGACCATGACTTGGGCGGAATCAAGAGTCAGACACTCAACTGACTGAGCCACCTGGGTGCCTGCTTTATGTCTACTCTAATTGAAGGATGCAATGAAATCAAATGGGTGGGAGAGGTACCTAAAGATGCTTTTAAAGTTTGGGGTTCAAAGTTGTGAGGCAAACTGAAGTCTCCTGCAGTTCCCCCTCATACACCTTTAGCAAATAACTTTCTCATGTCTAAGAGCTTATATATATTTCTAAAGGCCTATAAAAGGCTCATCTGGCTTTTCATCCTTTTGAAAACACAAATATTCTTAAATGTTCTCATGTAATTGAATGAAAATCATATGGGGCCTTTTTTTTTTTTTAAGATCTAAGCTGAGAAACATAGATACCTGGGGTAGTGACCAAACCTCTGGAGTGGAAGAGTAGCCATAATCCAAACAGGAAGAGGAAATGTCTGCTACATGGGGAAATGAGACAAAATTCCATCCTCCTCATGATTAAATGACCCACAACTACCTTCATCGAAGGATTTTTGGGCAACCCTCTTGTAGAACAATGTGGGAGCTGTGCTTTCTTCATTTTGGAAGAACTTGAGACGTATTCAGTGTCTTTTCTGAGCTCTGAGCTCCTCCCCTGGCAGACCTGGCTTCCTCCAGTGTGGAGGCACAGCTGCCGATTACCAGACCTGGCACCACACCACATTGGTGACCCCAGAACCCCTCCATCCTGCCACCACCAGGTCCAGGCTCAGCTGAGGCAGCAGAACATGATGCACGCGGGTCCAGCGATGTGCTCATTGCTCACCTGTGTACACCAGACACCAACCCCGGCCCCAGCCTTTGACCGAAAATTCCCCAACGTGGAACTTGATGGGCCATTTACCTGATCACGTTTAGAATCAAAGTATCCCTTCTTCTTTCAAACACAACCTGAATTGAAATCAGTGCTAAAGCATGAACCATATCATTTAAATCAAAACCAAATGCAAGCACCACCCATTCTCTCTCCTGCCTTTAAGCCCAGCTTCTCCAACAGAGAACAGCTGTCCGGAAGCAGCAGTGACTATGACTATTTTATGATTCAGCCCCTTCCACATTTTGCAGGGTAAGGCTTGTGAGTCTGTATTCATGAGAAGTACTCACAACATGGCAAGGCCCTCATACTCACCTGTGATTAATGCTAAGAACCCCCAAAGGTACATCCTTTGATCTAATGACGCTCTTAGAATCATGATATCTGATCTTGGTTCTATTACATGTCAAAAGCATTTTAATCTGCCTTGGGTTAAGGGCTCATCCATCTATGCTGGTGCCTGTCCAGAGAAGCAATTGCTGATTTTTTCACTCCCTGCCCCAAATATTCATTCTTCTTTCTATTTGCCTCATAACATAGAAATGAAAGAAGCAAAGAGTGTGTGTCCTCTGGAATCAATTGTAACTACTGCTATTACACAGGTCATTTGGCCCAAATTGAGGCATCCCGCCTGGTTTTTCTATGCCTTGACTTCAAGGCCACAGAAAAAGGGAAGAGTGGCTCCGAAGAAGCAAAGTGCTCTAGAGGCACTTCCTGGGAGAGGTCACAGATACATCCTGGGGTATTTCAAGGCCAATTTCAGCCTATTGTTACACTACCAGAGATAGAAACTTCCAATGCCACTTGCTTATTCAAAATGCCCTCATGTTCCTGGTATGTGGATGCTTCCCACAGCAGGAGGTGACGACTAGCAGGTTAAGTGAGAGGCCCTTGCTGCATACCTGCTTGTCTTTTTAAATAAAGAGCAGCCAGTTGCAGGCTGCCAGTCAGCACATTCCCATTGGTTCCTTTAATGCAGTAAGGCATACCACTGAGGCTTCCTCTCAGCTGACACCCACAAGCCATGCTAACCGTGGGTGGATCAATGAAATCTTCTAACCCTCAATTTCCCCTTATGCCAAATGAGGACATTAAACTGCTGTGATCGTTAAACTCCAAGTCTGATTCACTGGGGCTCCTGCCCTACCTTATTGCCTAAAGAACAAAGAATATGTCTCAAGATGGGTTTTTTTTTTCTTGAAGACAGAGGCAGTCATGTTTTCATCCAGGCTAGTAGCCTAATATGAGACATTTCTTCTATTAACCCCAAGCCACTTACATCTCAGTTAGACCCTATGGACATTTCACAGCACAGAAATTACTCCAGCAATGGACAGTGAAATCACGAAGCTAACAACGGTGACTTAGCTTCAGCATCGGAGCTTCACAGAGAGAAACTTTTGCTGGTATCATTTGTGTGTGTGTGTTTGATCTCTAAGCTCATATGATAATGAAGACAGAAAGGAGAAAGTGGGAATAACCAGAAATGGCACCACCAAGAGACCGCTGAACTCCAAGCTGTCCTCATGAGGAGCAGTGGTAACAGGGACAGGGTAACACAAGTGAGAGAATTTGGGTATAAGTACTGTTGGAATTTAGCTGAGGGGAAAGGGAACAGACATGTCAGGTGACATTAATTCACTTAAAACTCCACTTTCTCTAGACATATGATGCCCAACAGGGACCTGAATATTCTGAGAAAATAGAACAAGGATACTAATACCTGAAGCACTTTTTGTTTTTGCTATTTTAAGTTCTTTTCTGCGACTTACCACTGAATCTTAAATTGCACAGACTCTGGGTTCTGATACTGTGATTTCAAAAAGTTACTTCCATGGTCTAAAAATTAGTAGATCTTTTAGAATAAACTGGCTTTCCAGAGAAAAAAGCAAAATATCTATTGTAGTCAGATTCAGAAATTATTTATATGGAATAAGACCAATGTTTAGTCTCTGAAATTACAGTAAGGAAAAATATGCCTAAAAGTTGGGAATGATGTATTATTTAAATGAGTGGACACCCTAAGCCAATACTTTTCAAACTTTAGGATATGCTATGGACTGAATGTGTATCCCCCCAGAATTCAAATGTTGAAATCCTAATCTCAATATGGTGGTATTTAGAGGTGGGGCCTCCAAATTGGGAGTTGGTATTTGCATGATTAGGTTATGAGGGTGGAGCTCCCATGATCCAACTAGTGCCCCTATAAGAAGCAGACAGACTATTTGCTAGCCCTCTTTCTGCCATATGAAGACACAACAAGAAGCTGAGTCGCATCCCTAACCCAACAATGCTGGCACCCTGATCTTAGACTTCCAGCCTCCAGAACTGAGAAATAAATTTCTGTTGTTTATAAGTCACCCAGTCTATGGTATTCTGTCACAGCAGCCTGAACAGACTGCAGTAAGGTACATCGGAGTCCATGAAGGATCTTGTTAAAATGCAGATTCTGATTCAATGGGCCAGGGAGAAGCCAGAGAGCCTCCATTTCTAATAAGTTCCCAGACGATGCTGCTGTCACTGCTTGTACTCAGACTATACTTTGGGTCAAAAAGCCCCTAAGCGACCAATTTTCAAAGAATTTGCAGCCATCTACATCCAGATTAGTCTAAGGGCAATTTGATACCTGATGATTTGAAAGGTACTTCTAGTCCTTGCTGGTCTTCAGTTTCATCAATGATTATTATAAGAAAACACTCCCATTATTATTATTATTATTATTATTATTTAAATATTCTCATTATTGAAGCTTTTTTGTTGTTTTGGATCTGGGCCATTAAAGATTTAAGTCTGTGGAGATGAGAAAACGGCAGGACACAAATGTGGAGAAGAACCTTGATTTCCCCCTGCCCTTCCTCTTTCCCTCAAGCTTGACTTCACCTATAGATTTGGAGTTGAGGAACACAGCAGCATCAGACTAGGGGCTAGGGGCAGCGAAGAAAAACTGGACTGCTGTCCTGAGAAATGTGGCTAAAGACCCTTCCACATTAGCCCCTGTGAGAAAAGAATGGAGTCAGTCCCATGATGAGGACAGCAGCCAAGTTTCATCATGTGTACTCAGCGTTTAACGCCACTGCTAGAAAAATGGATTGAAGACAGAAAGAGAGCTTGGTCTGTAGGTGACTTGAAGATAAGAGATAATGTAACTCTTACATTTAGAGACCATTTAATACCAGTTGGTTGCTCTGACTTCTTCAAAAGCCTCCCCCCTTTTTTTCTTTTAAGCTTTGTTCCCTTCTCCTGTCTTCTAATCCACTCAGCAAATATTTGTAACTACTTTGTCCCAGATACTATTCTAGGAGCCGGGATCATAGCAGGGATCAAAATAGATAGAAGTTTTTGAACTTACACTTTAATAGAAGATGCCAGACAAAAAACAAGTACTTAATTTAGGATATGAGAAAGTGAAAAATGTTACGGAAACATGATCATACCAGCACTATTCGCAACAGCCAAAAGGTAAAAGAGACCCCTGTGTCCACTGACAGATGAATGGTTAAACAAAATGTGGCACACACATACAATGGAATATTATTCAGCCTTACCAAGGAAGAGAATTCTGTCACATGGTAAAACACGGATGAACCTTGAGGTCATGATGCTAAGTGAAATAAACCAGTCATAAAAAGACAAATATTACATGATTCCACATATATGAAATACTTAGAATCATTAAATTCATAGAGACAGGAAGTAGAACAGTGGTTGCCAGGCCGGGGGAAGGAGCAAAGGAAGTTGTTAATGCGTATAGTTTCTTTTTGGCAAGATGAAAAAGTTAGGCAGATTGGCTGCAAAATAAGGCGAATATACTCAACACTACCGAACTATACACTTAGAAGTGGTTAAGATGGCAAATGTTATGCTACATGTATTTCTGAAAACGCTACGGAGAAAAATTAAGCAGAGGAGTGTCTCCGTTAGGCTTGGGTGGGGAGGTTGCCAGTGGGAATAGGGTGGTTAAGAAAGGCCGCATTGATAAGGTGGCTTTGGTGCAAAGACCTGAAGGAGGTGAGAGACTGGGCCACATGAGAGAAAAGACTCCAGGCACAGGAGATGGCAACCGAGATGGCAGGAATGACATTCCATTCGTCCTGTCACCCTCACCGTGGCTGGGTTAGAGCTGCCCTCTGCTTTCATCTCTCCTCAGGGCCACTGCTTGAGCCAGTACTGGAGAATCACCAGCAAAGACCTAACAGGAACAAGCAAGGACTCATTTAGGAGTGCCTAAGCTTTTCTGTTGCTCGGGCAGCTAGTCACTCCTTTTCAAGTTTTTTAATATTTAAGAGCTGAAGGCCAAGCAAAGTGGTGTCCCTTCAGTGAGCCCGAATCAGACTGATAAACTGATGGACCGAGACAAGGAGGGGACGATCAGAGAACAGGAGATTCTCAGGTTCTGAGAAAAAGCTATTAATGAGTATAAGGGACCTGGGGGGACCTGGAAGACAGAAGGGCCGATGGGGAAAAGGACCATTCCATTCTGCAGGGATCATATCCTGGCTCCAGCACATTGCAGTCTAAAGGGTACTGGATGGTGATAATGACCTAGGCTTCTAGAAAGTCTCGGCAAGGAACAGTGCTCACCCCAAAGGCCTCAGCTGTGCGACAGAAGTGAAGCACATGGCTTCAGACATCTAAAGGGGAGCAGAGAAGAAGGCCATTGGTGAATCCATCTAAGGCCCCCCCTGGGAACTCTTAGAAATAATACAGGGGAGGGGGGTAAAGTCCAGTATAATGTGGTGCTACTCATACTGGGGCCTCTTGTTGATAAAGGCTGGAAATTTTCATTTACTAAAGGCATTCATCTCAAGTTTTGTGTATGCGTTCAAAGATTCTAGGAGTCTGTGATCTAACCAAGTTCTTATCTTCAAATCTGGGTTAGCTTCAACTTCAGTCAATTCCCTTATCCTGTTTGTGCTTCTATTTCTTCATAAGTAAATTGGGGGCAATAATATCTGCCCCCATGGGGTAGCTGTGAGTGTCAAATAAAATAACAGATGGAAAACTACTTGAAGTGACTAAAAGTCCTAGAGCTCAGTCAATAAATAATAATGATTATTATTATAGTCTTTTCATTGTCATTTTATTAACAGAATTTTTCTTCCCCCTCTCCACCCCAGAAAAAAAAATCTGCCGAGAGTCTGAGCAAAACAAGGCTCTAAAGTTAGGTGTGCGATTTATTTGTCTTGGTCCCTTATGAGAAATTTAGTTTTAAGCCCTTTTCAAACATCTGTTGCATTTCAACTCAGTAAGTGCAAATAACAGAGAAAGAGTAGCATCTGGGCTAGAAATGAAAAATATCTGCTCCTATTTTCAAAGAGAGAGAGAGAGGGAGGGAGACAGGAGAGAGAGAGGGGAGAGAGGAAGTAAGACTGTTAGATTTCTCATACTGAATACTGAGCACTTATCACTAGAAATCATGTTGTACCTGACATGCAGGAAGCTGCGTGATTAATGTGAATGTGCAGCGGCCATCTGCTCTGGAGTTGGGCTCTGAGTCCCAGTGCCCCGCGCTGGGTCAGCACTTTCCTCTTCGGTGCTGAGAAGTGACTTTCTCTGTTCCCCACCCCCCTCTCTTGTGCAGGTCTTCGCTTCTAGGAAAAAAGGAAGAAATGGTCCATGAAGTTTCATTTGCCTTGGAAAGAACAGAAACATCTTCAGAGAAATCACAGGCCACAGCACTGGGGGAGGGCAGTAAAGAAGGGGCCTACAGCCAGCCCGGCCTGCTGCCTGCAAGAAGCAGAGAAGGCCAACAGGGATAATAGACCCAAGGCTCAGACCACACCAGAGCAATCTGATCATTTTAGGAGAAGCAAAAGCCCCAGTAGAAAAGAAAAAGATCTCCTAAGTCACACAGGTTTATTTTTTTTCCTCCCCTTTTGAGTGAATTTCCTGGAGTAGTTTTTGTCTGGCCTGAAGGAAGTCTGCTCACAGCAGAGGGGAGAGCTGGCCAACTCATCACCTCCTGGGGCAGACACAGGCCCCATGAGTCGGATATCAAGACAGGCAGCTATTGTCACAGAGGAAACTGAGCCCAACGCAGCGAGGCCAGAGACAGATGCTGGGATTAGCTTAGGAGCTCAAGGAGCAGCGGTTCGCGGGGATTTGGTCTGACCCCTTAATTTGTAAATGGGCACCCTGAGGCCATAGATGCTGTGGCAGGCTCACCACAGGCACTCAGAGCTGGACCCATGGCTCTTTACATTTCAGCAGGACACATCCAGTTTGTCCCTAGGATGCTCAAGGAGCAACAAAAGGTTTTCCTGACTTGGATCCATCTGCATGCTTAGAGTAACTCCCATATCCATTTGCTCCCCAAAATGGAGTCTGAAGGATACAGGAAACAAATGTCTGTGATTATCATCAACTAGTAACACCTGCTCACAGCCACAGGGGGATGGAGAAGAGACAGAGAAGACGGGGAAGGGGCCATAGGATGTAGGACAACCAAGAAGAACAAAAGGAAAAGGGAAGAGAACATGGTACAAAGAAAGAGAAGAGGGGCGACTGGGTGGCTCAGTTGGTTGAGTGTCCGACTTCGCCTCAGGTCATGATCTCACTGCTTGGGAGTTCGAGCCCCACGTCGGGCTCTATGCTGACAGCTCAGAGCCTGGAACCTGCTTCGGATACTGTGTCTCCCTCTCTCTGCCCCTCCCATGCTCATTCTCTGTCTCTCCCTGTCTCTCAATAATAAATACATGTTTAAAAAAAAAAGAAGAGGGTGAGGAGAGAGAGATGAGGAAGAGGCAAGGAACGCTCCCAAAGCTTGGACTAGAGAGGAGAGTAAGAACACTGGGGGTGGGAGGGAGTACTATTTGATGAGAAAAGGGGAAGTCAAGGGGAAAATCCAGCCAAACTTAAATTTACAACAGTCAGTCTAAAGGACCAAAGTCTACTCAGTAGCCTTCTGCTGAGAAGCCCTATCAGGTTTGGGGCGGGAGGGGGGAGAAAATGTATTACCTTGAACCCTGACCTCAGTTTTTATCACAAGGGGTATAGAGGTCCCTGGTGAACAAGAGGAACTTCCCCGCCCTGGTTGTGCAGAGCCCTCCTCCCTGGGCATTCTCACCTCGCAGAACCTCCTCTTGGCACAGGACAGGAGGCAAGAGTTTTAAGTTACACACCAGGGGCCAATAGGACTGCACAAAGCTCATATTGTTCCTACTTTAATCATGGCTTTTGCTTCACAAATCCTGCTTTGAAACCATACACTGTGCTGAAGTTTTATGGCGGCTCTTGGAGTGGTTTATGGTTTTATCAGAGATTTTATTTTTCTAAAGTTATCACTGAATTTCCTTTTGCCCCTCCTCAAAATAATTATTGGCAAACGTGTGTAAACATAAGCCTGACAAACGTGTGGAAAACGTACAGGTAATGATACCACACCTTAGATTTTCTCCCAAAGTAAATTAAATCAAGACTTCGGCTTTCCCATTCTCTTATTTTCTTAAGAAAGAAAAAACGAGGGGGCAGAGAGAGGAAGAGAGAGGAGGGGCAGTAAGAACACCTTTTTTTTTTAAGTCAGAAAACCAAATTCTCACAATATTTAATGACACTTTTCCCTGTGTGTAGGGACTGAAGACTGAATTATGCCAAGGTGTGACAATTAGAAAAATTCCGAGTCAGGGAAAGTTTACCTTAGCCTGATTTTATGCCTTCAATACGTGCTTATATTCTAAGACCTGCATTTAGAATGGGGATTTGAGATATTAGAGAAGAAGTCAGGGAAGCCAAAAAGACACATTTTCTCTAAACCATATAAACAGCACTGCTTTAACTCACAAAGGTATTCATGTGAAATTCAGCAAGGACTTATGTGCCACTGCACGGCTGTCACTGTGGTAGGTTATGGACTGTGAGAGAGAAGGGTCAGCCTAAAGGCTTTGCACACCCCTGATCCATCTCAACCACCCTCCACATCACCTTCATCTCTCCCCTGGATGAGGGCAAGAGCGTCCCCCAACTGCTTTCTCTGTTTCCTCTCTTGCTTCCCTATAGTCCATTCCCACATAAAACTCAGAGTGATCTTTTAAACTACACATCAGAGGGGCGCCTGGGTGGCGCAGTCGGTTAAGCGTCCGACTTCAGCCAGGTCACGATCTCGCGGTCCGGGAGTTCGAGCCCCGCGTCGGGCTCTGGGCTGATGGCTCAGAGCCTGGAGCCTGTTTCCGATTCTGTGTCTCCCTCTCTCTCTGCCCCTTCCCCGTTCATGCTCTGTCTCTCTCTGTCCCAAAAATAAATAAACGTTGAAAAAAAAATTAAAAAAAAAAAAAATAAACTACACATCAGAGGACATCACTCCCTTGCTCGAAACCCTCCAGTGCTGCTGCTCCTACTGGGAACAAAAACTGCACTCCTGACCCTTAACCTGGTTATCCTCCACTCGGGTTCCCACCTCTGCTCCTCTCATGTGCTCTCCCCTCTGCCCATGAGGCAAAGTCACAATGGCCCTTTGGGTTTTCTGTTCATTTAGCAAACCTAACTTGTTCTACCTTAGAGAAGTGTCCTTCAAATATTTTGGAGATTCTTCTTGTAGCTCAAATGACTGGAAAAATTATGCAACGAGCCCAAATTTTCATCCCCAGGACAAGGATGAATACTCCAAGAATCAGGTTCCGAGAAACAATGGTAGAAAAAACCAAGTCATTTCCTGCTTGCCACTTTTCAAGTTCAACTCCTTGAAAGCGCTAATAACTGCATTCGCTGTTTGTGTCTCCCCTTTACTAGAATGGAAGCTACAGGGGTGCAGCAACCTCATGTGTCTGTCCCATAATTCGCCCCATCTCGAACCACGACAGAGACTTGGTGGATACTCCATCAATAGTTCAAAGAGTGAATAAATGAAACTATAAAAAAGGGCACTCACACATCACAGTTTTAAATATGGATTCACAGCTATTCTTTGACTAGGTACAAAAATGAATACAAATTCTAATTGCAAACAAGTTCCTTCTTGCTTAAAAAAATGCAGGAACAAAAATGGTGACATCAAGCCCTCATGAATCTACCAAGAAAAGCTCACCTTCCCCCAAATCTTCTAGCCGAGGCCTTCTGCAGCCTCCAATTGACCACTCAAGGAATGTGTTACTTCAAAAGAGAATACTTGACAAACGGCCTTTTCTTCATTTGACGTCATGATTCAGCTTTCTAAGAGACATCCATTCATAGCAAGACAGTGTGGCCAAGCCGAAAGGGTGTTATAGCAGCATTTATAGTGGGGGCTGTTGCTGTGTGACTCGGGGAAAAGCTTTTGAGTCCCTGGATCCATATATGCAAAACATGGCAATAAGCTCGCCTTCAACTTCTCTCTTCAGCATTTTTGGGGATATGTTATATTCAGATCAAATCCTATGAGCCTCTTTGGGAAAGAAAAAAGTGATATATGTACAGAATACACTGAATGAGTGAGCTATCTTGCTTTATCTACTAGAAGGTGATAGACTCTTGGATCAGCAAGGTGTCCTCCTCTTCTAAGAATATGACTTGATGATTATTCCTAGCCCACAGGAAGAGAGATTTAAAGTTAGTAAATCTAGAGAGAGAGAGGAGAAAAAGAAAGAAGCTCAATTTAGACTATGACCTTATAGAAATTTAGGGGATAATTCCAGCCAAGAGTCAGGCTGAAATTAAGGATTCAGTTTCCTGTTCTTGCTGAGTCAGCTCTCCATAGTGTGTCCTTGTGGTTTTGCTTGATTTGATACAAATTCTAAAAATATCCGATTTGTTCATATTTTTAAAAAGCACGTAAAAACAGACTGCAATGGTGTCCACATGACCCCCACAACTGGCATTACTTGGACCACTTTTCTCTGTGATTATATGAAACAGCACAGTTGTCTAACCCTTATTCTCCTTCCACAATAAATCTTAGGTAGATGGTTGTGGCATCCTTGCCCATTGCCTGACTGATATGCATTCTTCTCTTCTTGCTCATTTACGAAACTCTGTTTTCGGATGCAAGATGTCAGCCCCAAGTGAAATACTCCTTTGTCCAGCTTCCTTAGGAGCTCAAGATGGCGATGTGATACGGCTCTGGCTAATAAGATGGAAATAAAAGTCTACTGGGAGCCTCTGGGGTATGCTTGCTTCTCCTGATGTGAAGGGGCAGGTGATGATGGCTCAGTCTTTCCCTTCCTGTCATGTACAGGAGGAAACACGCAGTGGCCACCCGGTAATCACCAGAAACAAGCATGAAGACAAGCACTCTGGTATGACGGGCATAGCAAAAAGATGGAAAAAGTTTAAGTCCCTGATGACATCACTGAGCAGTTACATCTACACCAGAAATAGCCTACATCTCGTCTTCTCGATATCTGAGAAGAAGAAACACCTATTTGCTTAAGTCACTGAAATTAGCTCCTGCAATACTCATAGCCAAAATCATTACTAAGTGACACAATGACCACATTATTTGAGAGTGGAGAAATGGGTCTATATATGGAAAAGCATCCTGCATCAACAGGAATGAAGGGTCCTTGAGAAAACCCTTACTTCCAGAAAACAGCATCCCTATATCATCTTTACCATTTAGTCCCTATCCTTCACAGTTCACACATAGAGATGTGGAACTATTCTAAGATTCTGAATCCTAGGC